ATGGCATCTCAGTTATGATAATATTTTCAATAAAATAAAGATACATGTTGAGACTAATTCTACTTACCTGATATCCATCGGACTGAAGGCAGATAAGGGTAAAAATTAAATATATCGTCAAAGGAAAACCGGGATTTTGAAGATRGTGGAAATGCCGATGTAGGAGATGCTGTAGTTTGTTCGTTTTTCTTTTCTGTTAAAGTCAATGTTAGAGAAATCRTTAAGCTATAAATATTTCACGCACACTGACACTTATGTCAATGGTTGGAGAACATTCTTCGCGAGGGAGGACACGAAAAGAAAGCTTGCTGTAGTACGAACCGAAATGACGAAAAAACAATAATAAAGACTGTGTGSTCTAGTCTAGGTTCCGAACTGTTGCCTCGTTATTTTTTTTTTTATTATTATTATTATTTTCCTTTAGCCATCAAGGTTTAATTGGAATATAATTAAAATAAGAATATAAAATTTAGAAATATAGGTCAATTATCGATATGTGATGKTAATGACATTTTTTGGAAACATCAGGCTTACTTACGTACACATGCTTTTGGTCAAATGTTTATGCATTAGGTCCGTGCAAAACATTTACCGAAGTTTGACTAGCTAGTGAACAGTAACAGAAGGTCGCAAAGGACAAATAAATTAAAAATTACTCTACAAGATGGATATCTGATCTTTAGAAGGACATAGCTAGCCTACCATAAAAGGTTCTTTTATGCAAAGAGATTATTCACACATGGTATATGGATACTCAAATCCACTTCAGTGGCGGTCAAGGGAAAGTAGGTGAACCGATTAGCACGTTATGTTTACTGTTCGTATTATAACGCCAGCGAAAGAATCATGGCAAATCTAGCATTATRGTTTTYCAGYCAAGGTTAATACAAACATGAAGTTCGTACACATGACTTGAGTGCTTCTTCGCAAAATATAAACAAAACGCAAATCAAATTCTGTAGGTAAGCAATGTAATGACAACAGCATTGTGTCCGATAGTGAAGACATTCATTTGCATTATCCTTTGCTAAGTACAAATAATAGCAAAGACATCAGTACAAACTGAATTTCACTTAGGGTATCAGTTATTCGTTTATTCGTGTGTAACATTCCGTCATTAAAATATAATTACAAGAGAAATATGCTTACAATAACACGCAAAACATACACAGTACCGTACCTGAGGTAGTCAATACAACAGCAAGAAGCACAATGCATACAGCGATAACAACGACAAGGAAAATGACAGCCGATGCGGTTTGTCTAAAGGACGCCATYGAATTTGTGAACCCGTCTGYTAAGGAGGTGTATTGATCTCTTCACAGATTGACAAATGTAATGACAGCTTGTTGATTGACACGTCCATCGCACAGATAACAATATAAACAAAAAAAACGCCAAAACAAAAGAAAACGTCTTACACTAGCTGGTCATGCCATTTTCCAAACAGCTTCATACTTATAAGGCATTTATTTTTAATTCTGTGACGCTAATGCAAAGAAATGCTTGTAAACTGCAAGGTTTAATCTTTGTAAAACCTATGTTCAAATTACATTACAAAATGAACCCCAGGAAAAAAGGTCACCATGAACTGATSGGGACGAATCTTATGATTGGTTGAGAAAACAATTGACAAACAATAGATGTTCTTCAAAACGATATAAAACAAACACTGATGCCCTAAATCGAACTAAACAGGAGTTTTGATGGGTACTAAAGGGTACTGGAAGTATCAAAAAAAGAAACTTACTGCCCCGTTGAAATCATAAMWAATCAATTTTRAACGAGCCAGATCGTTGATTCATCTAATTATGATTTCTATGTAATCACTATATTTGATTAATTAAAATGACAAAAAGATATTAGTCGAGTGCAAACACTCAAAGCATGAAAAACTTATAGAGTGAAACCATCAAACCAGTGAAGCAAAATGTTACTATCAAAGGATGATAGTTAACTAGAGACACAGTGTACTAAGGTGCATTAGTTAAATATCTATTTCACGGTTTTTTTTTACTTCACTCTTAGCTACTCTTTAACAAAAATTGCCAAACTTGACCCCGCATACTATTTACATATTTCTATAGATTATTTTCCGGATTATTTGCTGAGGTATCTGAACACATAGTAACATTATTGAATAAAAAAAACACGTAGAAAAACACCGATTAGATGCCTAACTATAAGCATGTTACGATTTGGAGATCACAAGGAAGGTTACAACCTCATGCGCCTTCCCGTGAATAATAAAAGAATAAATCATACTGTATTTGTCTTTCGAGGGATATCATGATAGCCAGCTGCTTTAAGATAGCTTACGATAGATCATAAAGATTTCAACAATAATTTCAAAGTATTCCTGGAAAAGTGTTTACAGYGATGAGCGTAARGAATTCTTTGATTTAGAAGAGGAGAATTACGCGGTRCATGAGGTCGAATCGCCGCTAGGAACCATATATTGCTAAGACGCGCGCTCAATTCCTTACCTGTAGATACTTTTTTGCTTGTCTTTGGTTCAGATACAACAATCACTACTACTATCACGATGATAGCAAAGAGAAGAAGAGGAACGAAGATGTAGACAAGCTTTTTCCTTTTGCTCGGCTCCATGCTTGATACTAGACACCCAAGACTTGTCAGTGTGATCTTCTACAGTCCCAGGTGATTGAGGTATGAGGCTAGGGCAACTTACCTTGGCTTGACAGATAAGCTATGTTTGCGGATAGATGACAAGCTATGCATTAACTAAACAACATCATGAAATATCCYAAATCATCAATAAGAAGTATTTTGAAAGCTGTGTTTATTTTTACTGAGCAGTATTTTTTAATGGACGCAAGAGTTAATACYWGAATTTATGCCAAAATTGGACAAAAAACAGCTRCTTAARGGGGRAMMRKTTKKTTYCMAA